ACCTAATGTTAACTGCATTTACTAGATATCTCATTATTGTGTCGCTGCGATATAGTTGGCAGGTAAGCCTTGTGACATCACAATGGAGTACTACGGTTATGTAACCAATAAGTAATGTTAACTGTAGTTACTAGATATCTGATTAATATATATATATACATGCTTCGAAATGTTATTAGTTAATTATGCAAAGTGTTTTTCAGTTGATTTTACAAAATGGCATGTTAAATCGAAAATTAACGTTTCTGACAGGGCAACAGCAAAAAACATTTAAAAACATACATATCGAGTATTATATAGCTCTATTTTATATTTATTATTTACGTTTGTGTTGCAAGTAAATAGTATATTCATAACAAAAGATGCTGAGTCTTAAAAAAAGAAATTTCTTCCCTGTCTTAAATCTTGCACAAGCGAGATGACGCCAATAGTGAGTTGCTCTTATTTTTTTTTTTCATATTATATTTCCTGTAATTATATTTATTTATAATTTTATTTTTATAAGTGCATAACGACCTGCGCTTTATAAAACAGAACAAGAGACTTAATGCACATAGTTTATGATCAGAATTAAAAAATGTCCCATCTAACAGGTAATACGAATTAAGACTAGTAATGAGACATTATTTTTTAACCTCTGCCTATGCGTCACTGCCAAAAAGGAACAATTATACATATACAGAATTTTGAAATGACCTCGAAAAATAAAATGATATATTTCATTATTTTATTAATTCTAATGCAAAATATGTTGATCGGCAACAAAAGCAACAAAAAGAAAAAAATCGAAATTAAAAACCAATCTATTTCAAGGTCAGCGATATCGTTCTTAAATAAAAATGAATTAAATAATTTCTTCACTTTGATCGTAAGGAAAATAAATAATAATTTGAATACAAAACAATAATTGATCATCGAGTTTTGTGTATTGACTTTCGCACTCAGTTATAGGTATATCTGTTTAACATTAAATTTTCAAAAGTTTAGATTTTTTCAATGTAATCTTGGGCTCTAAAATAAACTGGTAATGTAAAATGTATAATTATAATTGAGTATTTTTGTGGCTGATCTTTAAATTATTATTTATTCAAAAAATTCACTTAATTTCATATCCAATATGTAACTAACTGAAAACTGATAATAAAGCAGCAGATATGACGAAATAGTGTAGACTTTTTTTAATGTCGGTAATAGAGTGTATGTATAATAACTAGAGAGCGGAAAATATGCAGCAAAATTTTGGGAAATATGATCATATGACATGCATCAAATTTATGCAAATATGCAATAACTTTCTTAATATATGCAGAGATATGCAGTTGCACATGCTCAAAAAATTAAAAAAAGCGTAATAACCGAACTAAATTTATTTACAAATTGCAAAAACACCTTAACTTTTATTACAAAAAATACATAAATCACATTGCAAAGTGTTTAATTAGATCTCACTGACAAATAAATGACATTTTTAAGATAATATTCTTATACTCAAAAATAAATATAGGTAAACAGAACGAATTAAAAAATAGTAGTAATCGACTATTTAATTACTATTTTGGTAAAAATTTATTTTTAAATATTTTTCGAAATATTCTAACAAAAATTTTTCTGGTGATTCTAAAGTATGTATTTGTAAATAAAAAAACTGCGTACTGCGTCCACAGATGTAAAAATACTTATCGGATTAGAGCAGGCACAACAAAACACAATTCCTTCTTGAAGAATAAGTTCAGGAAAAGGTTTAATTCATAAATTAATTTGAGTTATCTACATATTGACACACATCTCTATCGCTTTAAATACTTAAATGCAAACTCACGATGAAAAATAATAGGATAACGTCCCTTCGACCACCATAAAACGTACCATTAATACACTTAAGTAACGAACAAAAATATTGAAATGAACGGTATTTCCAAAAGTAATTAGGACCCGAATTTACCTGGAAGGATGGCTTAACACCCAGTGGTTCCTCCAAACTACCATAAAACCCAAACCCAGTTATTTGAAGCTCAGGACAATATTTGCAATATGATTCATGAAGTTTCGTTTTTCTAGAAAAATGCCGATCGAATGGCATTTTTTTTTCAAAGTAGCACAAAAATTGATAAAAATGCAAAATATGCACCCGGTATGTGAAATATGCAGCAGAAGGCAAATATATGCAAATATGCAATTTTTTATAGCTGCATTCATTTTTAATTAGCATGATTCGTTCACATATTAAATATCAAGACTTATATGCAAAAAATAACGGATATGCAAATTTCATAAAATCCGCTCTCTAATAATAACCAATACCTGCGCCTAAATTAAGGAAAATTTCCAACTGCACAATCGCAATAATCCCCCTTGTGTTCTTAATAGTACTTTTACACCTCTCCCCCTTCCCCCCCATTAAAGTGCAGTATGATTTTGTCGATTTTGTGAGAATACCTACAACATTAATAATAAATAAATAATAGCAAAACGCAAATTCAAAATAAATATATTGTAAAGATATAAACAAAAATCTAAAAAAGGCATAATACCGACACGATTAATACATACATATATCACTATTTAAAGGTACATCACAAAAGTTTGTGTGTTGTCTTCCCAAAACAGAAGACTAAAATAATTAATTAAGCCACAATCGAAAAAAATGTTCTGAATTTTATTATTATAATTCTTATTTTGTCATTTTTAAATAAAGACTTGCGTATTCTCATATTTTTAAGAAAATGGGGTGACACGTTCTTAATTGGATCAATAAAAAATTTGTGATGACGCCAATAATAATGTAAATAATACTTGTCATAGCACAAAAGAAAATTAGAAACAGCGCATTACCAATGCAAGAAAAAACCAAAGTGATAAGAGCTGTGAAGGCAGTACGACTCCGCAAGTACGACTGATAAAATTTTTGTTGTGCAATTTTTCGAAATCACTGAGACAAGTGTTATTGTTAAGCAGGTACGTAAAATAGCACATCTGGGGTTTCTTGAGGTTCCAACTTGACAAATAAAATCATAAAAATTCCTCGATTCTTTTCGGTGAAGGGATGAACCGGCGTCAGTAATAGTAACTTACGCTCGGGAAGTAAAAATGTTAATAATGTGAAAAAGTTACTGCACAAATTGCAATTTCCAGCTGCACAAATGCATTTTTGAACTGCACAAAATGTGTAGAAGTGCACATTAATTTAGGCCCTGCCCAATACATCGGGTATGTTTCTGTTGTTGTCTTCGTTCGACACCACTGTATTTACAGTATTTAAGCAGGTATACGTTTCCGCCCCTAAAATCCCACGTACGGCATCTTTGCCCAAGTAAATACAGCACCTGGAATGAAGACAGAAACAGAAATAGTTTTACAACACCTTATCAAAATTTAAAAAAACCACTATGGTATTATTTGAAATTTATTGTTAAAGATTGTATGGTCAATTAGATGTGGGTCGTCGTATTCTTTAAAAAGTGACCTTCGTCAGTGAGTTCGTAATGCTTAATTAATAATTATATTCAGAGCGAAAAATACAACGGCTTTATTAGAAATACACCAAAGACAAGTTTTTCCATTGTAATAATTTCTAAGAATTATTTCTGTAAACTTGTTCACTTGAAATGTTATTTTGTAAGTACCTGCTTGGCAAATTATAAATAGAACATCTGTAAGGTGACCAGATTTCAAAAGTCCGAAACCGGAACATTAGTTTCCATTTCCATCGTAATCTGATATATAACTGCTTTGAAAATTTTTAGTTGTAATATACTAACAGTACTGACATCTGCTGACATTTAAAACAGTGCTGACAACCGTATCGATACAAGTTTTGTTCCCAATTTTTCACAAAATAAAATTACTATTCATGAAAATTAGTGATTTATCCGAGGATTTATCTTTATTCTTATCAGATTTATAGAAATCGGAACATTCACGGAACGAATGTTTTAATCGGAACATTTATTGGACGAAATTTGAAATCGGAATTATTAGAGTATTGAAATCGGTACAGTTCCGATCAAATCGGAACGTCTGGTCACCTTAAACATCTGGGGTTAATATAGGGAAGACCCAACGACACAAACAAAGCCATAAAAATTCTTTGCCCATTGTCCCTGAAACGGGACAAGGTTTTGAAGAGTTCATTCGTCGAATTTTGATTTTATAACGACGTTTATAAAGCGATGATGGGTAGCAAAAAAACTAGAGAGTGGTTAATTTTGATTTTATTAAATTTATTTTATCTAGTGAAAAAATAACGCTCAACTTCTGCATTTACTATCCACCAGATGTTTGGGGGGTGCAGTCGGTCCTTTGTTGGTTTGGTTTGTCTATGAGTCGGACGATCCCTTTTTTCCGTATTTATGGTTATTGCACTTCAGACTCACAGTGAAGCTGTCGAATTCCATTTGGCCATTTGGTTCACAATAACCACCGAACCTTTCTCGTGAATCCGTAAATCACTTCATTTTTAATGCAGTTTTGTGAAAATTGTGCCATTCAGTGTGTATTAAATTTACACTAGGTAAGTTAATATAATTCTAATGAAGTAATCATTTTAATTTTTACATGCTTCTGTTGTTTTTGATAACTGTACGTAAATAACAACAACAGTTTTTTCAGACAAGCTGGAAATACCACCATTAATCACTGAAGATACTCCCGCTGATTTTGAAGAACTTACGGTGATTGTTTTTGAAAGTGAGGCGCTTTGCCATAACATGTTGCAAAGGTATGTTACTGCAATTTTTTATGAACTAGGTGCTAATGAACATAATTTTACTCTAGACTTGAAACAAATACAAAAAATATGTGCGAAACAAAAGAAATTCTAAAGGAAACGAGTGAACAAATCTCCAATATGAAAACGTCATCAAATGTGACAAATCAAAAAGAAAACAGTAATAGAAGATATGCCGCCAAGACCACAGGTAAACAAATTTTGAGGAATTAGAAGATTATCTCTGCCTACTACAACAAGCAGGCTTCTTTGTAAGTTAAAAAAATACAATTAGTCCAGTCAAATTAGCGATCAACCTCGAAATGAGAGATAATAAGCTGAATTTTCGTATATACCTTCATTTTAGCGTTCTAAAAGTTGTCTCAAAAGTCTCATAAAATCTCGTGTCTGCGTCGTAAGTTATTCAAGGTCAAAGGTCAAGAAAAACATTATTTTGCGATTATCTCGGTTTCTATTGCTCTAATGATGTTAACACCTATTATCATAATTGTAGAGCACAAATTTGGGACAAATTTTATTTGAAACATTTTTTGATACACTTAATCGTTTTTGAGATAGCGGGCAGTGGGCGCGCAGCGTTCATCCATACATACTGTAATGCAATCAACCGTGAAAATATCTGTGAATACTACCTTGAATTTTGAAAAATTTGTATTATTTATCAGTTAATACATTGCATTTAATAACATTTTGCATATTTGCAATACATTTATTTAATGATACTTACCTACTTTGTGTAATTAAAAACTCTTTAAATGACATATTTATTGTAGGTATATCTTAGGTTAGATTATTATATATCTTAAAGTTATATTAATTTTTTCAAAGTAAATTTTAAGGAAGTAAAACGAGTTCATATATTTTAATTTTATCTTTATTCAGCAGCTGGACATTTCTTACGATTCATCTTGCAGTGAAAATCTATAAATTTTTAATAATTTAAAGAACAAAAGTATCAATTTTCTTCTTCTTCACCGTCATCTTCTGGACGTTCGGGAATTTCTGTTTCATCGTCGTCATCTTCGGTGCCCTGAATTGTTGTTTCCAGACCTTCCAGTTATAATCATGATAAGAAAATAAGTATTTAAAAACTTGCACATTTTAAAGATACAAATAAATTGAGATATACAATAAATATTTCATTAAATGAGTTTTTAATTACACAAAATAGTTAAGTATTATTCTATGAATATATTGAAAATATGTAAAATGTTATTAAATACAATGTATTAATTGATTAATAATACAAATTATTCAAAATTCAAGGTAGAATTGACAGATATTCACGGTTGATTGCATTACAGTACCTACGTATGGACGAGCGCTGCGCGCTCACTGTGCTCTATCTCCAAAACGATTGAGCGCATGAAAAAATATTTCAAATAAAATTTGTCCCAAATTTTGTGCTCTACAATTATGATAATAATTGTTAACATCATTGGAGCAATAGAAACTGAGATAATTGCAAAAAACTGTTTTTCTTGACCTTTGACCTTGAATAACTTACGACGCAGACACGAGATTTTATTAGACTTTTGAGACAACTTTTAGAACGCCAAAATTAAGGCGTATACAAAAATTCAGCTTATTGTCTCTCATTCTGAGGTTGATCCCTTTTTTATGCTCAAATGACTGGACTAAATATATTTATATGTACTTACATATAACATAATTTTGGATATTATATACAGGTAGATGCCTGTAATACTATAACACTTTTTAGGAACCTACTACATTTCGCTTAACACGTTACATACATATTGGGTTGCAGAAAAGTCTTATAGTGAAGCACCCTGTATGTTATACATACGCGGTGACTTCCAAATAGATTCGAAAAAAAAATCCTTTAATTGTCACACGGATTCAAAGTAATTAAATTGCTGCTGCAGTTTCAAGAAACAAATACGGAACAACTTGTTAAATGTAAATGATGCGGCAATGATTTATTCAGTTTCCATTGTGACTAAATTTTTTCTTTATTTTTAAAATCGACAAAAATACAGTTTCTAGCTAAAATTTGATGGTTTCGTTGCACTTTCCGAGCCCGTAGGGTATCTGAGTGGCTTAAAAGTCCAAGAAAACACTTCAAAAGTGACGTTTCTGAAGAATTTTAACAGTTTTCTTGTATCTACGAACGCCAGAATGCATAAAATTGACCTAAACGTCTCCTTTTCCTATTCTGAGTCGATTCTGCATGCTTTAAGTGTGTTTGGTGGCTCAGAACCATCAAAAAACGTTGAAATATAGTTCAAATTCAATAAAAATCGACAAAAATACAGTTTCTAGCTAAAATTTGATGGTTTCGTTGCACTTTCCGAGCCCGTTGGGTATCTGAGTGGCTTAAAAGTACAAGAAAACACTTCAAAAGTGACGTTTCTGAGGAATTTTAACAGTTTTCTTGTATCTACGAACGCCAGAATGCATAAAATTGACCTAAACGTCTCCTTGTCCTATTCTGAGTCGATTCTGCATGCTTTAAGTGTGTTTGGTGGCTCAGAACCATCAAAAAACGTTGAAATATAGTTCAAATTCAATAAAAATCGACAAAAATACAGTTTCTAACTAAAATTTGATGGTTTCGTTGCACTTTCCGAGCCCGTTGGGTATCTGAGTGGCTTAAAAGTACAAGAAAACACTTCAAAAGTGACGTTTCTGAAGAATTTTAACAGTTTTCTTGTATCTACGAACGCCAGAATGCATAATATTGACCTAAACGTCTCCTTTTCCTGTTCTGAGTCGATTCTGCATGCTTTAAGTGTGTTTGGTGGCTCAGAACCATCAAAAAACGTTGAAATATAGTTCAAATTCAATAAAAATCGACAAAAACACAGTCTCTAGCTAAAATTTGATGGTTTCGTTGCACTTTCCGAGCCCGTAGGGTATCTGAGTGGCTTAAAAGTACAAGAAAACACTTCAAAAGTGACGTTTCTGAAGAATTTTAACAGTTTTCTTGTATCTACGAACGCCAGAATGCATAAAATTGACCTAAACGTCTCCTTTTCCTTTTCTGAGTCGATTCTGCTTGCTTTAAGTGTGTTTGGTGGCTCAGAACCATCAAAAAACGTTGAAATATAGTTCAAATTCAATAAAAATCGACAAAAATACAGTTTCTAACTAAAATTTGATGGTTTCGTTGCACTTTCCGAGCCCGTAGAGTATCTGAGTGGCTTAAAAGTACAAGAAAACACTTCAAAAGTGACGTTGCTGAAGAATTTTAACAGTTTTCTTGTATCTACGAACGCCAGAATGCATAAATTTGACCTAAACGTCTCCTTTTCCTGTTCTGAGTCGATTCTGCATGCTTTAAGTGTGTTTGGTGGCTCAGAACCATCAAAAAACGTTGAAATATAGTTCAAATTCAATAAAAATCGACAAAAATACAGTTTCTAGCTAAAATTTGATGGTTTCGTTGCACTTTCCGAGCCCGTAGGGTATTTGAGTGGCTTAAAAGTACAAGAAAACACTTCAAAAGTGACGTTTCTGAAGAATTTTAACAGTTTTCTTGTATCTACGAACGCCAGAATGCATAAAATTGACCTAAACGTCTCCTTTTCCTATTCTGAGTCGATTCTGCAAGCTTTAAGTGTGTTTGGTGGCTCAGAACCATCAAAAAACGTTGAAATATAGTTCAAATTCAATAAAAATCGACAAAAATACAGTTTCTAGCTAAAATTCGATGGTTTCGTTGCACTTTCCGAGACCATAGGGTATCTGAGTGGCTTAAAAGTACAAGAAAACACTTCAAAAGTGACGTTTCTGAAGAATTTTAACAGTTTTCTTGTATCTACGTACGCCAGAATGCATAAAATTGACCTAAACGTCTCCTTTTCCTATTCTGAGTCGATTCTGCATGCTTTAAGTGTGTTTGGTTGCTCAGAACCATCAAAAACCGTTGAAATATAGTTCAAATTCAATAAAAATCGACAAAAATACAGTTTCTACCTAAAATTTGATGGTTTCGTTGCACTTTCCGAGCCCATAGGGTATCTGAGTGGCTTAAAAGTACAAGAAAACACTTCAAAAGTGACGTTTCTGAAGAATTTTAACAGTTTTCTTGTATCTACGAAAGCCAGAATGCATAAAATTGACCTAAACGTCTCCTTTTCCTACTCTGAGTCGATTCTGCATGCTTTAAGTGTGTTTGGTGGCTCAGAACCATCAAAAAACGTTGAAATATTGTTCAAATTCAATAAAAATCGACAAAAATACAGTTTCTAGCTAAAATTTGATGGTTTCGTTGCACTTTCCGAGCCCGTAGGGTATCTGAGTGGCTTAAAAGTACAAGAAAACACTTCAAAAGTGACGTTTCTGAAGAATTTTAACGGTTTTCTTGTATCTACGAACGCCAGAATGCATAAAATTGACCTAAACGTCTCCTTTTCCAATTCTGAGTCGATTCTGCATGCTTTAAGTGTGTTTGGTGGTTCAGAACCATCAAAAAACGTTGAAATATAGTTCAAATTCAATAAAAATCGACAAAAATACAGTTTCTAGCTAAAATTTGATGGTTTCGTTGCACTTTCCGAGCCCGTAGGGTATCTGAGTGGCTTAAAAGTACAAGAAAACACTTCAAAAGTGACGTTTCTGAAGAATTTTAACAGTTTTCTTGTATCTACGAACGCCAGAATGCATAAAATTGACCTAAACGTCTCCTTTTCCTATTCTGAGTCGCTTCTGCATGCTTTAAGTGTGTTTGGAGGCTCAGAACCATCAAAAAACGTTGAAATATAGTTCAAATTCAATAAAAATCGACAAAAATACAGTTTCTAGCTAAAATTTGATTGTTTCGTTGCACTTTCCGAGCCCGTTGGGTATCTGAGTGGCTTAGAAGTACAAGAAAACACTTCAAAAGTGACGTTTCTGAAGAATTTTAACAGTTTTCTTGTATCTACGAACGCCAGAATGCATAAAATTGACCTAAACGTCTCCTTTTCCTATTCTGAGTCGATTCTGCATGCTTTAAGTGTGTTTGGTGGCTCAGAACCATCAAAAAACGTTGAAATATAGTTCAAATTCAGTAAAAATCGACAAAAATACAGTTTCTAGCTAAAATTTGATGGTTTCGTTGCACTTTTCGAGCCCGTAGGGTATCTGAGTGGCTTAAAAGTACAAGAAAACACTTCAAAAGTGACGTTTCTGAAGAATTTTAACAGTTTTCTTGTATCTACGAACGCCAGAATGCATAAAATTGACCTAAATGTCTTCTTTTCCTATTCTGAGTCGATTCTGCATGCTTTAAGTGTGTTTGGTGGCTCAGAACCATCAAAAAACGTTGAAATATAGTTCAAATTCAATAAAAATCGACAAAAATACAGTTTCTAGCTAAAATTTGATGGTTTCGTTGCACTTTCCGAGCCCGTAGGGTATCTGAGTGGCTTAAAAGTACAAGAAAACACTTCAAAAGTGACGTTTCTGAAGAATTTTAACAGTTTTCTTGTATCTACGAACGCCAGAATGCATAAAATTGACCTAAACGTCTCCTT